CTGTCACCCAGGCTGGACCAAAGCCTCGACCTGCTGGGCTCAGGCAATCTTCCCGCCTCAGCCTTCCATGTAGCTGGAATCATAGGTGTGTGCCACCACTTCCAGTTAATTTTTTTTCTTTTTTTGAGTTTGACTCTCACTCTTGTCCCCCAGGCTACAGCGCAGTGGCACACTCATGGCCACTGCAGCCTTGACATGCTGGGCTTAGGCAACACTTCCACCTCAGCCTGTCAAGAAATTGGAACTGCAGACACATGCCACCATGCCTGGCTAGTTTTATTTTTTATTTTTTATTATAGAGATGAGGTCTCACCTAGTTGCCCAGGATGGTTTCAAACTCCCGGGCTCAGGCAATCCTTTCACCTCGGCCTCCCAAAGTGCTAGGATTACAGGATGAGCCACCGTACCTGTCCTCCAGCTAATTTTTAAATTTGTTGTAGAGACGAGGTCTCGCCAAGTTGCCCGGGCTGATCTCGAACCCCTGGGCTCAGGCAATCCTCTCGCCTCCGCCTCCTCTGCCTCCCCAAGTACTGGGATGACAGGCGTGAACCACCGTGCTGGCGCTTTCCAGCTTTCAAAACGGCTGCTCTTGGCTCCCCAAGCCCCACCATCTTCTTTCCTCTTTGTAGACAAGAGTAAAAAAGAGCCCAATCCTTATTCTCCACATTGGGAAGTCAAACGGCCATACCTAAAACAAACATTCGAGAGGTGGTCTCATCATCATGTGACTCAGAGACACGGAAGTGCATATCGTCAGGATCCTCTGAAACTCAGTGGCTGGCTCCCAGAACAGAAAATGAAGAGCTGGGCACTGGGGGGGCGGTGTCGAGACCACAGAACTCTTTGGCTTTTCAGACTGTATCACATGTAACTTAGAGGGAAGTAACCTTAAAAGCAGACAGAAGCAGGTCATAGATTGCTCATGGAAGCATCGCTGCGTATGTAAAGACAGAAAAACAGACTGGCAGGAAACTCTCAAAACAGTTATTTTCCTTGAGTTGGAGTCTCACTCTGTCACCCAGACTGGAGTGCAATGGCTGCTCCCGGCCACCGCAGCCTCGACCCGACTAATTTTTTTGATTTATTGTAGAGATGAGGTCTCGCCAAGTTGCCCAGGCAGGTCTCGAACCCACGGGCTCAGGCAATTCACTCACCTCAGCCTCCCTAGGCGCGGGATTACAGGCTGAGCCACCGAGGCCGGCTTATATTTTTGTTTTTAAGGTTTGGGCCGGGCTCGGTGACTCAGCCTGTAATCCCAGTACTTTGGGAGGCCGAGGCCAGTGGATTGTCTGAACCCAGGTTCGAGATCAGCCTGGGCAACTTGGCGAGACCTCATCTCTACAATAAATAAAAAAAAAAAATTAGCCAGGCGTGGTAGCGCACGCCTGTAGTTCCAGCTACTCGGAAGGCTGAGGTGGAAGGATTGCCGGAACCCAGCAGGCCACTGCACTCCAGTCTGGGCAACAGAGTGAGACTCCAACTCAAAAAAACAAACAAACAAAAAAACCCCAAAATAGGCCTGGCTGGGTGCAGTGACTCATACTTATAGTTCTAGCACTTGGGGAGTCGGAGGCGAGAGGATTGCTTGAGCCCAGGGATTCGAGACCAACCTGGACAACTTGGCAAGACCTTGTCTCTACAATAAATTAAAGAAAAATTAGCTGGGCGTTGTGGCACTCGCCTATAGTTCCAGCTACTTGGAAAGCTGAGGCAGAAGGATCACCTGAGCCTGGTGGGTCAAGGCTGCGGTGGCGGGGAGCAGTGTGCCACTGCACTCCAGCCTGAGTGACAGAGTGAGACTCCAACTAGTCCTCCCCCAAAAGGAAGCTGGGAGCCACAGAGGCTAGCCTCGGCACATGGGCTGGTGGGGCCCGGGGGCAGCTGCCGGGTGGTGAGTGCATGGAGAGCTCTGTTCTCAGGGTACCACACAGGGAGTCCCTCAAACCAGGCCCCTGTCAGACCCTGAGGGGGCTCTTCAAGTTCGGGAGATTTTGGTACAAGGGTGGCCACTGTGGCTTTCAGGGTCAAAGACCTGGCACTCCTGTAAGATACTCCAAGGAGACTGGGCATGGTGGCTCACACCTGCAATACCAGCACTTTGAGAGGCCAAGGCAGGAGGATCCCTTGAGGCCAGGAGGGCAAGACCAGCCTGGGCAACATGCAACACAGCGAAACTCAAAACAAAACAAGCTTTCTTGGCTGTGGGAGTGTCCATGGTGCTGGACATCCAGTGGCAGCCTGAGGCTGCTTTCACCAAAGATGGGCTCACACTGCCCTCTAGTGGTCAGGCTCTGTCCGTCTCCATACACACACACAAAAGGAAAATTTCTGGGTTTTTTTGTTTTTGTAGCAATGGGGATCTCACTGTTTCGCCCAGGCTGACCCCAAACTCCTGGCCTCGAACAATTTTCCTGCCTCCACCTCCCAAAGTGCTAGGATTACAAGCACAAGTCACTGCACCCAGCCGATTCTGTTTTGTTTTGGTTTTTTTTTGAGTTGGAGTCTCACTCTCGCCCAGACTGGAGGGCAGTGGTACGCTCCCGGCCACTGCAGCTTCAACCTGCTGGGCTCTGGCGATCCTTCCGCCTCAGCCTTCCGAGTAGCCAGAATTACAGGCACATGCTACCACAGCTGGCTAGTTTTGGATTTATTGTAGAGATGAGGTCTTGTCAAGTTGGCCAGGTGGGTCTCGAACCCACAGGCTCAGGCAATCCACTTGCCTCGGCCTCCCAAAGTGCTGGGATTACAGGCTGAGCCACCGAGGCTGGTGATTCTCAGCTTTTTAACATGCAGATTAAACTCAAGTAATTCCACTAAAGGAGGGACAGGAGGGAGGGAAGGAAACGGGTACGGTCACCAACTGTCCAGGGTGAGAAAGACAGTCCTCCTTTTCTGTTTTCAAAAAGATCCTTAAACAACACTAATACTCACTTTTTTTCTTTTTTTTTGAGTTGGAGTCTCACTCTGTCGCCCAGACTGGAGTGCAGTGGCCGCTCCTGGCCACCGCAGCCTCGACCTGCTGGGCTCCGGCGATCCTTCCCCTCTCACCTTCCCAGTAGCCAGAATTACAGGCATGCGCTACCACGC